ACTTTCAGAATGGTAGATTTTTGAAATGGTTTGAATGACTGGGGGTTTTGGGTGAAACGGATTAGATTTCTCGGATGAACTAGTTAGTAAATTAATCTTCTAGGTGAATGGACTCTTCGAATTGGATTCAATCTTTTAAATAAATAGAAAACTTCAAATGGATTGAATTCTTGAAACAACCTGAAGCCCTCAAATAAGCTTGATCTTCAATAACAATTTATCTCTGAACTGCATCATTATATTTCGCCCATTGAGTTGAGTAGAAAGTTACTTTTGCAGCTAACATACAAGCGAGTGTTTCCGTAGATCTGGAGCTACTAATCTTCTCTTCACTATAGTCAAAGTTTTAACACGAGTATATCACTTCGCCATCTCAAGCTCCTCATGTACCCATCCATCAGCCCTCTCCTTAATCTACACCTCCGTCTCCTCCGCACACATCATTTTCTCCTTACCCAAGCCATAGACCGGCTTCCAACTATCAGAGTCAACCGCCTGCATATCATTATCATAAACCTCCAGACATTGCACTGTCTTCAATTCCCTCAACTCTTTTTCAAGAACACTTCATAAATGTGCCTCCGATTCGCATTTTCGTTTTTCCCTGTCGAACATGGTGGGTATACCAGGTCTTATGGTATCGCTTGTCTCAAAATCCTCTCTCACGTTGATGACAAGCATCTGTAGTTGTATACAAAATTTATTGATAAGCGGGACATACCATTGGAGTTTTCCAACCAAGTCATCCTCGCACCAATCGCGACCTGGGGGTTTGCAGCTGGTGCTCACGGAACATTTATGCATTTTGACTATGCCGTTGAAATACAAAGTCTTAATCATAGCAGCTTTGGAAGATCCAATCGCGTGTAGAAATCGTGCGAAATGATCGTGGTAGAGAGGAGCTAGCCCCATCGCCGGTCTTTGTTCTTCGATTGCCTTGATAGCGTGCTGGACCATCATAAGGTGAAACTCTTCTTCTGTGATGCCTCCGGATTCCCTTAGCAAAGTGATAATATCAGCCCAATTTTTTTTTGGATAAAACACTTCCCTAATCAAAGTTTTTGGATGACCCCTCTTGCCTGTCTCGGTCCTCCGGAACTGGAACACGTTGTCTGCATATAGCCTTTTTGTAGCCTGAGTACAAAAGCTCTTGCAGACGCGAAGAAGCGTCGATTATTGGACGGTACACTTTGTGTAGAACAAAGTATTTTCCTTGCGCATCGTAACGTGGCTCGGTAATAATGGTGCTCAAGGGCAAATTGGGCGTACCAGCTAGAGCCCCGGGATAACACGTCTCGGTGTATCTCTGGCCATTGAGGGTGTACGTTTGATGTACTTTGTAAATGAGCTCCATGTTTGTTGTGCCGACGTCGGGGGGAATCGTGTGATGTCTGGTTAGACTGTTTGTATCAAGTTGAGAAGTAAAGTTGAAGTTAAAGTTGAAGGTGATATTGAATTTGGTGTTGATGTAAAAAGAATTATTGCAAGAAAATATCTTGAAAGGAAAGGATTCAAGAGGGGAAAGGCTGTGTGAAAGATCGTCGTAGCTCGCTTCGCGTTCCCCACACTGACCTAAAAGCTAATCTCGCATAATACAGCAGTAACAGCACAAGGCATGGTGCGACATGCTAATTTGTAATTATTCAATCATACTACTCGGAAAGCATTCACTAAAGAGGCAATATGATGGATGTGACTTGAAAGATACTATATATAAATACAGGTTGTCACTCTCCTCAACTCGTATCTACGCATTCACTACTAACCACCACCGTACACTATGGCGACTAGATGACTTCACACAAGCCTCCGATGTGAAGATTCTGGGCAACTGTTCTCTTATGAATATCGTGAGGTGAATTTGTAGAACTGATTGCGGGGTAGTTATAGAATCTAGTAATCATCGAGTAATAGTTGGCTGTCCATTACTTTAGCCAACTATAGGCTGCGCAGAAATACTCCGCTACCCGTGGGGACCCGCAGATACTCCGCCCCGCGGGGGACCCGTTGAGCTTTCAAAATTATCCGCCCCGCAAATACTCTGCAAATTTATTAATTTTTATAATATTAATA